TTCATTTTAAGACTATTTTTAGACTGATAGTATTTTTTTTTAGTAAGTATAATTTAAGATATTGTATTTTATAGAAAAGAATCAGCAGATTTCATTCACAATTTGTGTCTAACCAAATTTAATGATTGATTAGGACTATTTTACTTGAATAGCTGAAATTGAGGATTAATTCATTTAAAGTTTTCAAGAAAAGAAAAATAAATTAAATTCCATCCTAATATTACTACATGTTAATGTTAATATACAATCAAAAATATTTTACAAGTAAACCTTAATTAAGCTTGTAAATAAATTTCATTGAATACTTGAATTTTAGCTGGGAATTTTTAATTTTCAGTATTTATTTTATATTAGTAGCCTCAAATTTTTGCTTAAAACTCCCAGTAAGTTCAGCTTTTCAGGGAAAGTTATTGGTGCTCTGAGTTGGAATTTGGCTATAAACTTGGAATTTCTGGGAATTTTTGGGAATTTCTAGGTTTTTAGAGCCAGAGTTGTAATAGTTGGGAATTCCTAGGAATTCCTAGGAATTCCCAGTTGGAATTTACTGTGAAAATTCACACCTCTTATTCCTAGGGAATTCCAAAATCCATTTCGCAAGGATAATGCTGTCTTAATAACTACACTGTAGCCGTACAGACACAGGATCCTAACTTTATAGCAACAAACAGCAAGCAGTTAGCCTTCACACAAGATCAAGATTATCACCCTGTTTTATAATAATTAGTATACAAATTTTCCAGTCTCTCTTTGCCTTGGTAGCACATGTACAAAAAAGCAAGTAAGAGAAGCGTTTAATTGAGGAAGATTTTGTTTTTTCAGAGAAATCTACTTTTCCAGCTCTTTAACAAAATTAAAATGTGTTTGGACAGAGAGTTTGATTTGAAATTTCTTTGTCACCCTTACCAAAGTAAAAGTATGGGTTTGATATGGCAAATTATGGCCCATACATGGCCCATATATGGGTAAGATATGGGATGGTTAGACCTTCCTATAGGATTGATATGGTGCCCAGTTTTGTGAAAATTCAAGCTATGGGAAGTATATGAGATTGAAAGCCTTAGAAAAGATTTGTATGGTAATACTATGGGAACAAGGTGCCCATAGATATTCCATAGCAATGGCTCATCTGCCTCACTTTCTTTCTCTATGGGAATGATATGGGATCATCGCATTGTGTGGGATAACTATGGGAATCAGGTGCCCATAGGTATTCCATACCAGCTGTTAAAGCACGCTTGCTTTACCTGCTCTATGGAAATGATATGGGATTGTTCAGTTACATAGGAAAACTGTGGGAGTAAGGTGCCCATAGTTTTCCCATATCAGCTGCTAATTCACACTTTGTTGTGCCTGCTCTATGGAAATGATATGGGATCATTCTTAACTGCATGGTCAAACTGCAGGAATAAATTGCCCATAGTTATTTCATAGCAAATGTATGATGTATGACTACATCAAATGTTATGGGAATTCCATATAATTTCACATCTAGGGGAACTATGGGAATATTTAGGTGCTGGTAAGCAACATACGCAATCCAGACTAATGCAATATCACTGCTTGCCTTTTTCATACAATTGTATTAAAATAGCTGCATCTAAAAGAAGCAAAAAAGGGCAAAAACAGACAAGTCAGTAATTCAGCAGGATTTCTGAACACATAATACAATGGGGTACTTTTGACAAAATTTGAGGTGTTTGGATAGCTGAAGAAACACTTTATCAAGTGTTTGATATGTTTTCTCAATTGAACAGAAACTACAGAATGAGGTTTCCATGCCACAATCATTGCTATGGTTTCCTTTGTATAAAACCTTATGAACTATTAAAATACATTTGAGGAACCATGCTCACAGCTAGGTGGTAATTTATAATGATGTATAAAAAGACTTCAGCTCATAGAAATAACACTGTTAAAAGTACTTTACATGTTTTAATATATTTCTTTTCTTTTTAAACCTTTACAAGTTTCCCAAAATAAAATTCATTCAATACATGTATCATGAGCATTGCCATTGCCTTGCCAACAAACCGCGGTTACATTAACTAATAGTTTACTATCAGAATCTTGTTCCAAGTGATTGGGAAAATGAGCTGCATAATGCACCTCACAGTCTGAAAATGCCATATAAACACAGATATCAATAATGTTTTCAAGGAGAACAACAAATACCTGTGTGGGTGGTGCAAGGCAATGATGTGGCTCACTGGTCTCCCAAGCACTTTATGTTGCTCGCAGATACCTTTACTGGTTCTCGACAGTGGCTTAAACACAGCACCATAGGAGGTCCTGGAACCAACAGGTGCTTTGAAGAAAATCTCTATCTGGCCATATTCAAGAGAGTGACGTTCATCCAATCTGTATGCAACTGTGAATGTGTTTCTTCTGGAAACCCTTTTGTACTGTTTCAAATGAAATACAGTGCTTCCAGCTTGGAGTCTTGTAAATAACTTAACAGAAGATAAAGAATCCAGGCCCAGGAATGCTTGAAGATCATCTACAAATGGCTCAGTGGTACAGCTGCCACTCTTTAATGCACTGACAATATAGAAATCATCTTTCAGGTGAGTTTTATTGCTCCTTTAAAAGAACATAATAGCAATAAGAATTTGAGATAATAAGTTTTTCTATGATTTACATAATTATACTGGTAAGATGAGGGCGACAAATGTAAATGTTGCTTACATTCAAAACATAAGAATATCAGTCAAATGAGTATCATATAAGAGTTGTAAGCCCCCCAAAAAATTAGAATAATTATTTTTTCTTCCTCTCACCCAGGATAATGGTAATCAGCAAAAAGCCAATGATGAGATAAACAATTGCAAAAAGATTTGAAGTGGATCACATGAACACAGATGCAGCTATAGTCACTATGCCAACTCTACCTAGTATGCTGTCCTAGAAGGCGCATTACTAAATCCTTTGCACTTCCTGGAGGCATCTCCTTGATGAGCTCTGGGAGTTGCTGTTGACTTGTGACAGCAGTCATAATCTAACAATACATTCAAAATTATGTACAACAAAGCATTAGCAACATTTGTCTACTAATATTTCAGTTGATGAAATCAAAAAGACTGAAACATGTTAAACATGTTATTTTATGTTTTTAAATTCTTAAGCTTCATGCTTCTTGTTTTCTCTCTCCCTCCCCTCTGAATGCCTGTCACACAGGCTATCCTATTTGACCTTGTTGCTATATCAACATAAAATCATCTTCCACAAAAGTCAGCTAACCTGGCCAGCTATGTTCTGAGTCCCATGGAAGTAGTTGCTGATGTCTCCATTCCAGTCCTCAAATACAAAAAGAGAACTAGACCAGAGGGGACCATGATTGAGGACAGATTCCTTCAAGTGCAGCAACATGTGCTGGTTCATAAGAACATACCATGAACCTACAGGAACAGAATTTGTATCAAATAATTAATGTATATCAAAATCAATAGACTTTTATTTCCCAGATTCAGAGGATTTTCATCTCAGGCTTATAATTAGGTGCTGTTGTAAGTTAACAACAATTGAACCTTCATGCACTGGTTTACTGACCATAATATGCATCAAACATCTCCACAAAATGGATCAAGAGATTACCAGCCAATTCAAGTTGTTCTGGGGATATGGATCTTCCTGAGAGTAAGACAATTCCACCAACTAATAAAGCATAGTGCTGATAATATTCATCATCCAGGACACCTTTCATACAGGGTAGTGAATAGTAAAACAGCCAATTTCGGTACTCTGTTGCTGCAAAAAGATCAAAAACAGGTACCAGTATTTCAATTTAACTAAAAAAGTCTAACAAATGAAATATACAGTACAGTCAGTGGAACCTTGATTTCACAAACCTCTGTTTAACAAAATCCTTGATATAACGAACAATATTCTTCAGCCAAGCCAAAGTTAGAGAGTGATATGTATGGAACAAAACCTTGATAAAACAAACCTCAATAAAACAAATTCCTCCTTATAATGAATGTAATCCAGAAGCCCAAACACAAAATCTACTGTCAACACACAAAAGAAGATGAACATGGAACAGACCATCAGCAATAAAAATCCTTTTATCTTTGTAACTCAAAATGCAGCAATAAGCTGCACTAATTAAGTGACAAAAGTTGCTCAGGTAAATGTGCGCGCCTTTA